AAAAAAAAAAAAAAAAAAACGGTGCTTGCTTCCTCGATAAATAATGTTTAGAATTTAAACGTTAAAGATTATGTTTTGGATACCTCTACTGTAATCTTTTGAACTTTATAAAATGACAGGTATTTAAGAAACAAAAAGCAACCTTAAAAGTGAGGTAGGCATGTGGAACAGGGAAATGTTTATAGTTTCTTGTTTTTTCTTCCTTGTTTGGTTGTGGGGTTGGAATCAAGGGTCTCACATGTGCTATCACATATATTTAGGCATGACAACAATATCGTTGACTCACAGTTCTATGCTAGAAATTTATCTAAAGAAAATTGAGGATATACAAAGATTTAGAACATGAATTTTCTTTTATTATTATAGCATGCTAGTAATACAGAATGGTGAGGTTCATTTTGGAAACTGGTATGTATATGTATTTGACATCTTGCTTATTTTCAGTCCCATGACATTTTTTTTCCTTTTCCTCCTCCCTTCCCCAAGTGCCTTCTCTTTTCAGAAGTTCAGTGTTTTATTTATTTATTTGGACTCGTAGTGATCCTACTGTCTCATCCTCCCCAGCTCTGGGATTACAGACCTGTGCCACCACACTAGGTTTCAGTGGCTGGCATGGTGCAGCTGGGGTTCCAGTGCTGGCATGGCATGGGGTAGCAGAGGTCGAACCCAGGTACTTGTGCTTGCTAGGCAGGCACTTAAATGGCTGAGCTATCTGCCCAGCCTAAATGTTGTTTTAATAGGTTAAAAATTAACTAAAAATGAGGGATAGTAGAGAACTGGTTAAATACATTGTTGTTAGGCAGTTGGTTGTTATGTATCTTACAAAAGGCCAATATTTATTGGGCCATTCCTTACTATATGCCAGGCAGTTTTAGTATTTTACTCCCAATATTTTTAACCTCAGACCTGTCAGGTAGTTTTATTGCTTTTAGAGATAGAATGAATCTCAAAGATGACTAACTGCATGGTGTCAGAAAAATGTTATTTACATAGTTACATGTTTGAAAAGACCTTAAAAGCAATATAGTAAAATATGATCTCAGTTTAGGTAAAGTGTATGAGTGCATATGTATATATGTGGAGTGAAAATACCAAGTTTAAGATGGACATACTCTAAAGTGCTGGGGAGGCATATGTAGTGTTTTTTCTTATTTGTAGTGTTTAGCTTTTCATTCTGAAAATGAATTCTGTTTGTGTAAACAGGTTTTTAATAATAGTGAAAGATAGTCATAAGCTAAGATGTTAACGCACTCATCTTCTTTCTTTCTTTCTTTCTTTCTTTTTTTTCTTTCTGTCTACCTGTGTGTCAAGATGATTGAGTGTAGTCTTCACAATGAACTACATTCCAACCTATTTTTCATGTTTTATTTTCACTGAATTGCTCAGGTTAGAACTGAATTTGCAGTCCTCCTGCCTCAGCCTGTCAGTGCTGGGATTACATGACCACACTTCTATTGTTGTTTTTGTTTTTAAAATTTTGGTAATAGGGATGGAGTCTGTCATAGTTACTTCCTTGTTGCTGGGACAAAAGACATGACACCCACAAGTTAAAGGTGAGATTTATTTTAGTTCACAGTTCCTAGAGGTTTTAGTTCCTAGTCTGCTGGCTCCAAGGCAGGGCAGCACAGCAGAAGGCCATGGGAATGGGAGAAGAGAAATACCTTATGGCAGTGCAGGCAGGAGGAAGCAGCAAAGTGCAGCATCTAGTCTGCCTTTCTCTGTTTATTCTACTCAGGAGACAAGCCTATTGGTTGATGACACCCATACCCAGAATCAGGCTAATCCCAATTAGTAGACTAATTCCGTTACTATGTACCCTTAATCCATATTCACACATCCTAGATCCAAACAGCTCTCAAAAGCCCCATTTGTGAGTACATGAGGCTTTGGGGAGGACATCAAGATGCAAGCCATAACAGAACATAAGGTGTTCCACCACTGAGAGCTCCCAGTTTCTATAGCTTAATATTTCTGGTGAGATAAAGTATTTGGAGCAAGTAAAATTAATTTATATATAAAAGATTTTTTTAAATATATAAAAGATTTTTAAAAATTCTTTTAGATAATGTTTGTATTTATCCAGAATTCAAAAGTAAATTGTTAGAGGCCCACTACTGATAGAATCTTGATTCTCTTCTAGTTCCAGATCTTTAGCTATTCAGGACCCTTTGGAAATGAGACCTAGAGAGATCATTGTTTTTACAAATTAAGGACAATTTTTATGTAAGAATTACAAAAACTCCAACTTTTTATGACACTTTTTTTTTTTTTTTTGCAGTGCTGGGATGCACTCAGGAACTCATGTGTGCAAGGCAAGTGCTTTAGCACTGAGCTACATCTCTCTTTTATTTTTAAAAAAATTTACGATAATCTTAGTTGTCTGGGCTTTAGGCTGACTTCCATCTTTTATCTTTCTGCCTCAGTCTCTCTAGTAGTTGGGATTATAGGCATGTAGATTACACATGTTCTTTCTCTAAGCAGGAGATCTTTAATATTATATATATATATATATATTTTTTTTTTTTTTGTATTTTAGGGAGGGGTCTACAGGGTGCTCAGGGCCTCACTACTAGATCAGATTCATAGTGATCCGCCTATTTGCAGCCTCCCAAGAGCTGGGATTACAGGCGTGGGCCACCATGCCTAGTCTCAATTGCTGGGGGCGGGGCTGGCACGGCAGACCCATGCCCAGTCTCAGTTGCTGGGGGTGGGGCCAGCATGGCAGGTCCAGGGATTGAACCTCGGTCCCTGCACCTGCTTGCAGGTGCTTTAATCCACTGAACTATTTGACTGGCCCTTTTTAATATGTATATTATCTTAATTGGCTGGCTCAGCCAACCCTGGGGATGGGGCTGGCATGGCATGTGGTGCCAGGGGTTGAACTGCGGACCCTGTGCTTGCCTAAGCAGGTACTTTAGACTGCTGAGCTGTCTCACTGGCCCCAAGGTTATCATTTTTTTAAGGTTATCATTTTTGAGTATGAATTATTTTTTGTTGGAGGCACTATACCCTCAAAGATTTAATATATGGTGGTTCTCTTTTACTCATTCAAGAAAATTTAGTTGTTCTTTTTCGTTCTTACCCCCTGGTTCTGGGGTGGAACCAAGGGCCTCCCATGCTCTAAGCACCTGATATACCACCACTAAATTATATCTTCTGCCCCCTCTGTTTGTAATCTACTTTTTGTGGTTATTTTATAGTGTTTCTTATTACCTACCATGTATCTTCTTTTTTTGAGGCAAGGTCTTGCTATGTAGCTAGCACAGGCTGGCCTTGAACTCACAGCAGTCCTCTTTTCTCAGCCTCCCAAGCGCTGGGATTACAGGTGTGTGCCATCCTGCCTGGGTTACCTTTCTGTTTCTTAACGTGGCTCTTTATAGTGGACCAATTGAGTTACAACTGGCCTGACATAGGAACAACTTGGGTTATGACCAGAATTTTAGTTTTAACTTTTGACCAAAGTCTTTAGTTATGAGCTGAATGCCTGCTGCTTTTGCTTCCAAATGGTCTCAGATTTAGATTTAACCCCTGTAGAGTTCTGGAAGGAGCATCACAACATCCTTTCCTCTCTGGGGTTAATTGACAAGTCCTTGGTTAATATTTCTAAGGACACTGAGATCTGCCTGTATACAGAGGACTTAGAAGGCTGTGTAAAGGAGCCTGAGCCTTCAGCTGACAAGTGCTTGGGAAAGAATTGAGTTGTAAGTCAAGGGTCTACTGTATTTTTTTCTTTTCTTTTTTCTTTTTTTTTTTGGTGGTAC